GACAAGAAACTTCCTTGTGGCGAGATTGCGAGTCCGCGGAGTGCGACGCGTGCGGTGACGCGTGTGACGCGTGCGAGTGCGCGTGATTGCGTAGTGGGGGACCAACGTGATTACAGTCTTTGAGCTACTACTCCCGTGCCCAATGCGGAAAGTGCGACGCATACGATGCGATGCGAAGTGCGACGCGTGCGATGAGTGCGACGCGTGCGATGAGTGCGACGCGGGCACTGCTGCGGAGCCGCGGAAACAACGACCACTGCGACGACAGCGACCACTCCAGCGACAGCGTGCAATGCAGAGCGCGCCGCTATAAGGAGCTACATGTCGAACGTGACCAGCTATGATACGCACTGCCTGCTGTTCGTATCTCTGCTCGAGAGGTTAGTTTCCGAACTGCAATGCGGCGACAGCGTGTGAAATTGCGGCCGTGGCGTGTGCAATTGCGGCGGCGCCTCACCTGGAACATGCCGAGCGTGACCAGCGACGCGACCGTCAGCGCGAGTGCCCCGATAAAGAGCCGTCTCGATAAAAGCGACACCACGGTGTCCACTGTACACCTATCGGAACCCGCTTTCGGCATGGCGAACTTCGCAGCGTTCTTCGCAGCCTCGCCGGGGCCGTCGCCGGCCGTCGCCGCCAGTGCAACATTCCTATCGCTTCCGCGCTTCGGCGACGATGGCATGGCTTCTAACGACGAGAATGCGTCTTGTACTCGCGGGGCCATTCTGACGAGCGGGGTTGCGTAGAGGAAGATCTAGAGCTACAAAGGGACTCATGCATGTGCAACGAATCTTTTGAGAAACTAACTCTTAACGGTGCGGCTAGTAGCGAAGCGAGTAAGGGTGGTGGTGGCAGAATGCGACGGGCGGCGCTTAGGCATAGAAGGGTAAGGTCGCGAGTCGGCGCCAGAAAAGCTCCTAAATCGATCTGAGTTTTATTTTTCCAAGCAGAAGGCTGTTTCGGGGAACAACGCGCGTATGCCGGTGAGACGCGGAGGCGAGAAGAAGAAACTCGCGCTGGTTCTGCGTGGATCGAGTCGATTCAGCGCTGAGACGCTGAGACGCTGAGAAGCTGGGACGTTAAGACGCTGAGAGAATGTGACGGTGAGACAAGGGGCCGCTGCTTGCTGGAGGTGCTTCCTTCCCTGAGTACGAGAATCCGGTGACGAAATACGGCACGCTTCTCCTCGGCTGGCTAGCTTTGCCTTGTCACATCACAACTCTCGACGAGATGAACTGGTCCAGTAAGAGAGAAAACTCTTATTCTATCACTACAATATACCTGCGTCACTGACGGCCATGCTGGCTTTGCTTGACTGTATTGTAAATTCTGACAAGAAAATTCTGACGAGGTGAAGGTCCATGCTTCTGGTCGGTCGCGCACGCTCCACTATCGAGCTTAATGTTTCACTGAATAATGTCTCGTCTTGTCGCCTCTTATTCTGGTGACATGTCTCTCTGCTCCCTGTTACAAGCTGGTTCAACTTGACCCTCCCCCGCCACAGACAAGCGCGAACTTCGGTGTTGTCGGATGAGAAAAAATCGGACGGCGGAAAATACCACACGCGGGAACATTCCGAGGGCGGAAAGCGAAACACGGAGGCATTGCGGGGTGCTTGGCTTGGGGTGAAGGGGGAGAGACCTTCCCAGCCCCAGCAGGTTGAGGTAGAAGGGGTGGGGTGAAAGGGGATGGGGGGAGGGAAGGGGGAGGAAGGAGAGGAAGAGTGGGGGAGGGAACATACTACACGGGGGAGGCGGTTTGTGTTGCAAAAGGCCCGTTCTGACGAATTGGCTCAAGACGCGGTGTTTCTGGGGCAGAGAGGTCTAAGGATAAAACTAGTAGTCAGATGGTTAAAGAAGGGTTTAGAACATGTTTAGGCGTTAAATCGTGGTTGATTTTCATGTGTCAGACTTCCAGGTCGCACGCGCCCCGACCTCAGTCTCGTTCACATTCGCGAATCACGATGATGTGTCCTCCTCGCGTCTGCCCTCTGACAGCGCTGGTCACGGGGGTTTTTTCATGATCGCCTCACGGGCGACAGGTGCGAAGTACGCTGTACGATGCGCCTCTCCACTCCACACAGCCGCTGGTGACGACGACCATGGATCGGTTCGTCACTCGGCGCCAAGTGCCAAAGCAGATTTCGTGGTGTCGGTTGAGGAGTTGGTGTGGGCTCTCGGTTCAAGGGTTAACAACTACAATGTTGGTACACTCCGTAATTTTCACGTTACAATTTGGTTTCTTGCAAAGTTTGATTCCCTTATGTGGAGGCCCTAAAAATCCCAGTGTTACGGGTGCAATGAATCTAGGTAGCGAGGATTGCACTAAGTGTCAAACGAGTACAAAATGTGAGCGAAGGCATGAGCGAACATTTATACGCGAAACATGCAAACGGTAACGCGGTGCGTGCGCGCTAGCTAGTGCTATGCTGGCATCGAGGTTCGGGCTAGTCCGAAGCGTAGGCCGACACGGCCGGGCCAGCAGTGCGAGGTTTGGTGAAACATTGCGCGCGAAGTCGGTGAAGCCCCGTTAGCAGTAACGGGCGAACAACGGCTGCTGCTGTACGCGATGTTGCAGGGCGCGCTAAGGAATGTCGAGAAATTCCTTATACTACCCCCCCCCCCCAAGAAGCCCCCTCCGCTACGCGAGTGCGTGTATATCGCGGAGACCCCGGCTCCTCAGGTACTCTTGCAGGGCAGGGTGGTTTTCAATGTTGGCTAGGGGCACCCAGCTATCCTCAGTTGGTGTGCGGTCATTCCAGCGAACGAGGAATTCAATCCTCTTGATTCCCGTGGGGTGTCGAATTCGATGGCTCAGGATTTTTTTGGGCTCGATGGTCGGCTCCGATGTAGGGCGAGTCATGGATGGCGGGCGGTGACGAGGCAGTTGGCTTGTGGTTGGGATGTATGGGCGAAGCAGGCTGACGTGGAATGAAGGGCTGATGTACCAGTCTGTCGGCAACAGTAAATGTGCTGTCACTGGGGTGATCATGTGGTTGATTTGGAATGGCCCACAGTAACGCGGTCGTGATTTCGGGACGACGGGCAGTCTTAAGTTCTGTGTGTCGAGCAATACATAGTCTCCTGACTGATACGTGACTGGGCGGCGGTGGCAGTCAGCGTTGCGCTTAGCGATGACATTTGCTTTTTTAATTGCTTCGGCGGCTCTGGTGCGGGCAGCTTGCAGGATCTCGGCAAATCGTTGTGCGCGTGGCGTTGGGTTGTCCGGACTCGGCGTCATGGGCACTGCAGGATTTTGCCCGTAGTTCAGGTAGAACGGGGGACTGCTGCGTCGTCGCTGACGCGGCATTGTTGTGCGCGAACTCAATCAGCGGCAGCTGCTGCTCCCAAGTTGTCGGATCGTCGCACGTGGCACGAATCAACTGCTCCATCGTCTGATTCGTCTGCTCCGTTTGACCGTCGATCTCGGGGTGGTACGACGAGCTGAGATGTAGCCTGGTCCCGAAGTGCTCCCAGAGGTTCTTCTAGAAATTGCTGGTAAACTTCGTGTTGCGGTCGCTGATTATCGCGGCTGGTATCCCGTGCAGTCGAACGACGGCCGCGATGAACAGGCGAGCGGTTTCTTTGGCTGAGATCGATTTCTTGCACACAGCGAAGTGTGCCATCTTCGTCAACCTGTCAACGACGACCATAACCGCGTCGTTACCTCCAGGGTTCGAAGGTAACCTCCATAGTAACCTGCTGCCAGGCGCGCTCAGGCAGTGGAATCGGCTGCAACTGACCCGCCTTTCTTTTTCGCGAGCTCTTCATCACCTGACACGTAGGACACGAGCCCACGTGGTGCTGTACGTCGGTCAACAGCTCCGGCCAGTAGTAATACCGCTGCAGTTGCTGTCGCGTTTTTTCTACCCCGAAATGGCTCGAGGTAATCCCGTCATGTGCTTCCTACAGTAACAATTCCCTCAGTAGTGAGTACACGGGTACCCAGATGCGGTTTGTTCCTGTTTTTACGTAATAGACTTCTTTTGCTTCTGCCAGTTGCTATGAATTTCCAGTCGTGAAAAATGGGTCGGTACTGTATCCGTGGGTGAATAGGCCTGTTAGCAGTGGGTTGGTTTGGGCGAGTAGAATGGCGTGGAGTTGGGCGGTGGGGCGTGTGAGTGCGTCGGCGATGTTGGATGCGTCTTTTTTGTACGTGACCGTGTAGTGGAAGTTGGACTCCAGATAGTCCAACCAGCGGATCCGTCGCGGGTTGAGATTCGGTTGGGCGCGAAGGTACTGTAGTGATCGGTGGTCTGTCCGTACTGTCACGTCTGCTCCCGTGAGGTAACATCGCCACACCTTGAACGCGTGCACGATCGCCAGCATCTCGCGGTCGTGTATCGGATAGTTGCGATCGGGCGGGTGAAGCTTGCGGGACTCGTACGCGATTAGCTGGAGGCAGTTCCCAAAGTTCTGCAATAATATTGCTCCCACAGCGTTGTCGCTAGCATCGGTGACGAGCTCGAATGGACGGTGCGGATCTGCGATGTGAAGCACGGGCGGTGAGCACAAAATATTTTTGAGGGCTGAGAAGGTAGCTTGCTCTTTCTCCCCCCACGTGTACTCAACCCCCTTCCTCAGCAGGTCGGTCAACAGGGCAGTCAGCTTCGCCATGTCGGGGACGAACCGGCGCACGTAGTTGACAAGCCCCAGAAAACTCTGCAACTTGGTCAAGTTGGTCGGCGCGTGCCATGCTTGAATCGTCGCAATTTTCTTCAGGTCTATTTCCACTCCATCAGCTGAAATGATGTGTCCCAAAAACTCCAGTCGGTCCTGTAAAAACTCACACTTAGAGGCTTTGGTCAGTAGGCGGTTCTCACTCAATATTTAAAAAACGGCTTCGATGTCCTGTAAATGCTGTGCTCTGTCGGGGCTGTAAATCAGTATGTCGTCGAGGTACACAATGACGCACTTATCTAAAAGCGGGCGGAAAGCTTCGTTCATTGTCATTTGAAATGTGGCGGGGGCGTTGGTCAGTCCGAAGGGCATGAGTGTGTG